TGGGAGGAGGAATTGAACTGCTCACAACTCCTTTGTCTCCCATCAAGCACCAATTACCCTTCAATACTATTTAATTCTTCACACATCAGACAGCTCTCTCCTAAAAACCCAAGAAAATGCTCTGCCATAGTACCCCCCCAAAAAACAAATGCAGAGGGGAAAATATACTATTCCAGTTTCCCTTTATATGGGATTTAAGAGACAACAAAACACAGCTACCAATCTACAAGGCTGAGTGTACTCTAGTGCTCTCTGGGAACGTGCTTCCTATCATGTTTTTCCTACCAGGCCCAAAAAGCTACAAGGAACAGTAAACTGTTCTCTATATGTTCATTTAAAAAGGATTTTAAAGTCTTAACTAGTTTGTTGTTTGTTTTTTCAAAGAAAGCTATCGAACACTCAGCTGTATTATTTCTCTGCATGGAATTATTTTAGGGGAAAGATTTCTCAAAAGCCAATTGTGGTCTTGGTAATAGTCATTAAACCAAGGGATTCCCTCGTGTCTATCTAAATTGAACAAAAGAGGTAATACTGTTGCCATTACAGAATTTATGAGGCATCTAGTTACCAAACCAGCAGTACCTTTACATAACCTGTTTCTCACTTCCCTCCTCAGATCCCCGGCAATTTTTAGTTTGGTCTTCTTGCAAAGCTGTCAAAACCATACTACCCAAAGGACCCACTAACCCGTATGTTCCAACCAACACTTCTACATTTCCCACTAGAAATCCTCAGAACAAAATGAACTGCAAGAAGAGGCCAAGTGTGTTCCATGAGTATGCATGGAGAGGCCTAGAAGAGGCCACCATGAGCTCAAGGTGGCCCAAGAGCTCCATGTGGTGCTGCTCAGCATGGAGACTGAGTGTCTAGGACTCCTCATCAGGGCTGATCTGATGGGGGTGAAGTGGGCTCTTGTGGGAGAGGGAGGTCCTTTCCCCCATTTTCAAGAAGTACTGGGTGCTGACAGCAGGAGGAAGCAAAAATTGGAGGCCTCTTCCAACCTGGATTATTCCCCAGCCCAGTGCCTCAGAGATGCCAATCAGCTAGACACAGCTCTTCTACCAGCTAGCTCAGGAGGTTTTGCCCTGGGGTTGGACTCTAAGATTTGAGAAAAAAGTGAAGAAAAGAGGGGTGGGAAAGCCAGCCACCTGGTTAAAAAACAAAAACAAAAAACAAGCACACTTCCTGGCTGCTTGTAGCTTCTATCTGAGGTCTGCCTTAGTTGAGGATAAATCTTAAGAAGGCTCTGTGTCAAAAAGGGGCAAGAGTCTGGACCTCTTCTCTTCCCCTGGCCTCGCCCCCATGGTACATCATAAACAGAGGGCTCCACAGAACACCTGACCACTCCCCATAGGCCTTTCCTTTTCCTTCCTTCCTGCAAAAGTAACTCTTGTTCTGGAGCAGTCTAAGAGTTTGGGAAGATATTAATTATCTTGGTAGGATGGTTGTGTATAGCAAAGATACTGCTTTTCTGCACTTCAGTCTACACGCTGAGGTACCGATGAGCAAGGGGATCTAGAGTAGATAAGATGTGGAAAGGACTGCTGGCCACACTGAACTAACTAGAAAGGTCCTTTGAAAGAAAACACACCAGAATTTGAGGTGCAGACCCTGTTGCTCTTACAGCAGGATATCCAACTAAACAGGGACAATAAGTTAGTCAGTCTCTCTTTCTCTCTGCTTCTGTCTCAGTGGGAAAATTAATTTTTTCTTTAGCAGATGGTTGAGTCACAAAGACAGAAGGATTCATAAAACTCACATGAACATCCTGTAAACATTTAAACACATAAAGATTAAATAAGGCAACCATGACCTTGATTAAAGTTAAAATATTGTTTTAATGCCTATAGTACTAATCCTGGCAATTTGGAGATGCAGCACCCAGTTCTCTAGGGGTGTGGCATGCATGCCTAAGAGCACCTGCTGTTTAATCAAAGTTGTTTTAAAACAGGGAATAAAAGGAACCAAAAGAAAGTGACATTGCAGACCACCTAAACAGGAGACCTTCCTAGTTCTCCATTCAATCAGATGGACTTCACAGGACAGCAAGAGTCAAAATAAAATCAATAGGTAAATTATAGAAAACAGTCATTGTGCCCACTCTGCTGCAAGCCCTGCCTTTCGGCAATTCACAGTTTTATCCCAACAGCGACGTTGGCCCAGGCCTAGGCTCTGTTACCAGTGAAAATTCTGACAGAAAGAGGCTAAATGACTTGTTCCAGCTCACGAGCAGCTGATGGGGCTTGAGCCACTGCCCCTGTTCTTTCAGCCTGCAGCTCCACAGCCGCACCATGAAGACCAACATCAAAGCCACCCCTAAGCCCTCACTATGACCAGACCAGCGTGTGAGATTAGCACTGCCCTCCCATGGTGAAACTTTATGGACCAGATCTGCTGCCACCAGGCTCAGCAGCATAATCTCGCCAGCAGCTTAAAGCCACGCTTCTCTAAGGCCAGGATACTGCCAGAGTCCTGCGAGGCAGAGGTGACATGTACTTTGAAGCACCTGGAGGTGGGGGGGGGTATGCGTGTCATCTCCTACACACTCTTGTTAGACTGTTTAATAAGCTACGGCTTTGAAGACTTTCCCAGCAGTGTTTGTTACCTGGTGTAAATTTGCCCTTTCTTGTGATGCTTTTTATTGCTCTTGGCTAAAGACACTGGGCCAAGACAGGAGACCTGACTTTCACGCAGGCAGGCTGCTTTGCGGGAGAACTTGAACTTGATGTGTGTGGAGCTGACAGTTCCTTGAAGGCCTTGTCAACCATCCATCCAGTAAATACTGCCACTACCCAGAGTAAAACCAGACCCCAAACCACAAGCACATAACGAGACACTGCACCTGTCTTGAAGCAATTATTGACATTATCGCTGTACAATGAATCCTTTTTTGAAGCTGTTTTCCTGATATTTAACAGTTGAATACTAATCCCCTTAACAAAACTATCCCAAAGCTTTTCCCTCCAACCTGCTCCCCACCCCTAATCTCTTCGGGGAGGGGCGCTGGGTACCAGGCCGTCCATTTGGCAGCACCTGGATTTGTACTGATCCTGGCCCTTGTCATTCATGTTACCAACAGGAATTAGCATAAGGCATTAAGGGGAAACTCTGGTGGAGAAAAGAAAGGCCATTCTGATGGAAATAAGGGCCAAAGGAATAATCTGCCATCAACTAAAATGCTTATTTGTGTATAGTTTCCCAAGCAAAGCTTAGAAAAAGCCTATGTTGATTTTAGTGTACACAAAGAAACCTTAATCCTTTCAAGGCAACTAAATCACCCCAGAAAAGCAGCTCAGAAGAAAAGGCACCCTGTGTGTGTTGGGGGGGGGGGGGGGTAACTATTCACAACCAAATAGATGCCACAAATCACACGCTGTAAGTAAACAAAAATAAGAATGTAGAAACGTTTGATTGGAAACCTGAGGGGGCAAGGGAGGCAGGCAGGGACAGGCAGAGGGGAAGGGCTCATCAGTCACTCTCTAGCACCCTGAAGAGGCTGGCAGGGGAGCGGAGGCCCAGGGCAGGTCCCAGAGCCAGGCTGAGCCCAGGACAGGAACACATTCCAAAGCTTTTTATAGTAAATGAGGGGGGAGAAAAAAGAAAGAAAGAGAAAAGACACAGTTCTATGTGGCTGGAGGTCCTGAGGGTCACCAATCACAGAAGCCCTGCTTTTGGTGACCTGTGCTGGCTCAGCCTCCCTTCCGGTTAGCCTTCTTTCTCACACAGGTATTCGCTCTACCTTCTACAATCCTCTATCTTCTACAATCCTCTTCCAGCATTGAAATGAGCAGTAAACAATTATGCATTTTTACACACAAGCGCTGGATGCTATGAACTGCACATATCTTCTTTTATTAGGCTTTTAGCATCATGGATAACAAATTTATACAAACTTTTAGTCCATCAAAAAATATGATGAAATATAAAACTGGAATTCTATTATGCAATAAAAAGAGGATAAAATTCAGTATGATAGTAATTCAGAGAGTAACAGCAATAAACACATGCCCCTCTAGGGAACTCTCAACATTACGTACTATTTAAAATTGCATTCTAAAATAATCTGGGAGTGCCAAATAACTGTACCTTCACTAACCAGCTCGCAAACCCGCGAGCCAAGGTGACAAGAGGCTGTGGAAATGGTTATATTTCATGTTACGAGGACCCAACTTAGTCCAAGTGCTACCAAGCAGTCTGCATGTAACCCAGAAAAAAGATGACCATAGGGAGTACATCGTCTTCATTTAGTAATTACCCTGCAAGGTCCTAAATCTGGTTGCATAGTGGAAAGGCAAAGATTAGTTTATATAATTTATACCTTTCAAATTATACACCTTTCAAAGCCGGTAATTAGAGACTCCCCTAAATTTCATTATTTCCAACAATACTGCTATAAACGAAAACTGCCAAGAAACCTATTGGCCATGATTTAGGGTAAGTCTGCCCTTAATGTACTGCTATATCATTAGCCTCTCTTACTCTACATGGAGGTCTGGAAGAAATTAATGGCATAGGGCATCTTTAAATCCTGCCCTCTTGCTCATTTATTAACTTTACAGGAAGCCCACGGCAGAGTACGGCTTGGTTTATGGCCATAACACGGGGAATACTAAACACGCGCTCGTTCTTAGGGTCCCCGGTGCACGCTGACCTGACGACTTTCAGCCCTCCCACTGCTGGGTGGCTGGTCAGAACAATCCTGTGAGCGCATTCTGGGAGTCATTCTTCTCCATTACAGCTTTTACGTTCCCTCACAGTCACACAGGAAGCAGTGATTTGTCAGTCAAATCAATTTAAATAAGGATTCGGCATGTCCTTTTAAAATAAACTTTTTCTATGTTCACAAAAGCATTCTGATTCTGTCCCATGCAAAAGCGCTACATGTGAAGAGTGGTTCCAGAATGAAAAGAAAAAGGCCACATTTTGTTTTGTTTTCCTCCTGACAGAGACAGTATGACTAATACTATTAAACACTACTCAGAAGAATTAAGAGGTCTTACCTTTGTTTACAATAACAGTGTTGAAGAGCTTTTCAGAGCTGGCATCTGATGCCTGAAAAAGAAGAGGAGGAAACAGTGTTATGATGGTCATTGATATTGTAAGCCCATCATAATTACTATTATTTTTGAGTCAGTTTACTACATTTTAGGAAAGCTGTAATTTTTCCAAATCATCCATAAGGTGGTGCTAGTTGACCGCTCGAGAGAGACCTGCAGTGCAGCAATTTGCTGGAGGAAAAAAATCTGATTTTAAATATGTCCTTATTAGATACAATATCTGTGCAAAATGTATTTCGGAGATGATACACAAAGCGATTCCACTCATTTTCATGATTTTCCAATTTCACTGACAGATCATTATTTTGGAAATGGTGTTTTTGTGCGTGGCATTTGCAGACGTGCCTATTTTTCAATTTTCTTCCATGAATCAGAAATGCCTATTATGTAGTGCTAAGCTTTTCCTCCCTAAAGTGTCAACCAGTACTGTCAGATATTAATTTTTTTAAGACTCATGTAGTGACCCTAAAGATCCCTGTCTCTTACAATAACCAGGATGACCTTGGTATTGAAATAGATGTACGCTGACCTGCCCAAACCGTCACCAGCATCATTTCCTTTTCATTTTCTAGAGATCATGCCTGCTAATTATTACAGTGGCCCAAGGAAAGTGAAATAAGCCTGTTTAAATAGCAAAACTAAAGCCAATTTAAATTATACACTACTGTTCTGGAAAATAAACATTAACTCGGTTTACTGGAAATGCTATAACATTTCAGAAGCACTGAATATTTCTAAGACTTGAAAAATTAAAAATTTATTCACCTCACAATACACAGTAATTTACGAATGCGCCTGCATCTAAAGTTATAATTGTCTGCCCATATGTATCCTGTTTTTCTGTGTAAACACTGTGAGAAATCACTTGTCTTGCACACTTTAGAGAGGTGCATATTCTGACAATGCAAAGCATAGAATGCAGAATAAATATGGAAGAAAGAAACATAGGAAGTAGGGGGAAGGGGAAGCCTGAAGAATAGCACATTCTGACACTGCCTTTTGGGGACAAAGAAGATATTCTACTTAGTTCTTTTAACGTTACACTGACAAAGATGAAATATTCCTGTGTATATCTGGAGGACATAGTCTAGTTCTCAATGCAAGTGATATAAAAAGGCATAAAATATCCTTTCTATGGCTGGGTTCCCTTTAATTCTTCTATGGGGTGGCTCAAAAGATTTAGGTGATCGAGGGGGAAAATGATGTTCAAAATAAGTACCCAAATGTATATACTTATACATATATAGCTGAAAATCCTAGATTTTTCTTTCTCCGCAGTAATAAAATATACACTCAGAGCCTTTCTGATGCCTCAAAACTAAATATTATAGTAGCTTTTCATAAAAAGGTACTGCCAAAAAAAGTACTGCATGGGGAGGGAGAAACAATTTACACATCAAACAGATGATAAATACTGAGTAATAAAAGTGACAATTACATGAACGGTGGTTATGTTGAAATGAGATTTCTAGGCATGTGAGTTTCCCAGGTAAAAACTTAGCAATAGCAGTGTTTCTTTTTGCTATCCTTCAACAAAAAAGTGTCTTAGCTTGTCTTGGAATTCTCTTGATGTTACACTTGTGCCTTAAAAAATAAACTGAAGTCGACTTTTTAAAAGGAAAAAAAAAATTATTAAAGCATTTTACCAACTGCAGAACCCCTGCAAATTTTGAGGTTATATATTAAAGTGAGTTTAACTGTCTCCAAGTAGGAGGTTTTCCTTCGCACTAGGTGTGCACGCTGAAAGCACCCATGTGGGTGAGCAGGCCCGATGGTTCTTCCTTCAGACCTTCCTGGGGACCTGCATCTTTTGTGGGCTCCGCTGCATCGTACAAACCATTCTGTGATCCTCTTGTCTGAACCAAACTTGAGGAAATGGTTATTATGATGCCAACTGTAAGTTACTAAGGAAATCTGCCTGGCAGGTTATTCAGAAAGGTTTAGGAGAGTACGCGTTCTAATAAACGTCTTTCCACTCTTGAATTCCCTGATACGTGTCACAAAGCCTCAAATGGTAACTGGGCCAAGAGGTGTCTCAAAAAGGCCTCCGGGGAACCTCCCCCCCCACCCCCCCGCCCCCGCCAAGATGATGATCGAAATGGGATTCTCGATAATCAAAAGGATTCTGGATCCCTCTTCCTCCCATGCAGGCTGTTAAACCTGCGGCAGACCACTCTCCTACAAAGTCGGGGGGGGGGGGGGGGAAGCGTCTTAGCCAAACTCCTAAATGAGAATCACGGGAGTATTCTTCGCCTTTCTTCAAGAACTTTCACTTACCACTACTTTAAAAGCATTTGTACAAATGTGCTTTGGCTCCTTGCATCTTAATCTCGGAGACGTTTTCATTTTAGGCACTTTTACAAATGTATGCATTTCCCTCCATCACCACCATCATTTCCTGGCCTTTTTTTCTTTCTTTTTATAATCAGACCGGTTCAGCGTGGTGAGCTGAGAGCAGCCGGCGAGTGCAGTCTTCCCTCTCTCCAACTACACTACCTTTCTTCGCACGCCAGACTTTAATCTCTCACTCGCCATTTCTTTTTCTTTCTCCATCGCTCGGTTTTGGGAAGTAAGAGCACGAAGAGACTGAACCCAAAAATGACAGAAAAACAGGTTTCTTTGGGACTTATTATGTGGGAGAAAGGGGCATTTTTTCCTTAATATTAAAAGATTACTAGAAGCCGTAGTTGGTTTTAAGGAAAAGTTAAACAAGTCAACCACATCAGATGAGCGAAGGCGGAGGACGACGAGAAAAACGAATACAAGCCTTCTGCGCGCACCGCGGGGAGCTGGAGGCTCGAGCTTCTCCGGGTCCACTCCAAGTCCCTCCCGACTCTGACCTCGGGGCCGCCCTCCGCAGCACTTCGGCGGGGAGAGCGACTTTCGAGCAAGCAGGGAGAGGGAAACCTCTCGGAAACTTAAGCGCGAGTTCTTCACCCGCCGCAACTGTGAGCCCGCGGTTCTTGCGCTTCCCCGGCACCGCTTGCAGGCGCGGACCGCGATCTGGCTCCATAAAGTAGGCCCCGAAAGGGCAGCGCAGCCGGCTCGGACCCGGTCAGGGAGCCCCGGCTACACTCCGCGGGGAGCTCGCCGCGGCCCCCCGCCCTGCCGTCCCCACAACGCCGCTCCCGGGCCGAGCCCCGGCGGCCAAGCAGGAAAGTACAAAGGCGGCGATGGGGCGGGGTGGGGGCCAAGGGGGAGGGGGATGGCGGAGGGGCTCGGGCGCCAGACGCCGTCAGTCCGCCCCTGCCACCCCTGCCCGCGGGCCCGGCCGCCGCAACAAAAGACCCCCGACCAGGCCGCCTCCCTTCCGACCGCCGGCGACGGCGGGCGCGAGAGCCGCGCCCCCAGAGCTGCATTACCTGGTCGCGAGGGGTTCGGCGGCGCTGTCAGCCCCAAGTTCATGGTTGGAGTGCTTAGTAAGGGCTCCCGATGCGCGATCGTCAAGAGGCCAGGAGAGCAAACACCGAAAACACACGCAGAGAAAACGCCCAACTCCAACCCGGCTCTGTCCGCGAGTCACTCCGCTGCTCGCTCGCCAAAGTCTGAAAGAGGAGCCACGCGAACCAGATCCAAGCCGGGCGGCAGCCTTCGGGGCGGCGGAAACCGCGCGGCGCGCCTCCAGCGCGGCCGGGTCCCGGCGGGGGACGCGCTCGCTCGCTGCCTCCCGGCTCCT